ATCCTCTTCTAACCGGTTTGGTAGATTTGACGAACCGGTTCTACCGAACTGGTGCAAACTGGCAGGAACCCACCTCTGGTTCTCTCTATCTTGTTTTAAGACACAGAGAACGGATCGTGTTTCAGATCAAGTTTGTGCAGGAATATGGGAACGTTTCAAAAGAATTCGCCTATTTTTAAGCACCACTCTGCAAATTGGAGCAGTGAGGTGCTGATGCTGGAGACAATTAGGGTTTCCTCATTGAATTGTTTGGGTTTCTTATACCAGTTGATACTAACTGGAGCAGTGTTTTTCAATCTTGGCAACTTTTAAGACACATGGACTTCAACTCCCAGAATTCCCCAGCCAGTGTGGGATTCTGGATGTTGAAGTCCACGTATTTTACAGCGGCCAAGGTTGTGAAACACTGAACTGGAGGATTGGGTGTGATGCAATAACTTATATATCTGAAGAATATCAAGCCTAAATGGTCCTTAAACATTTAGGGTCCTTCTAAATCCGTTTTTTTACATCTTGGCCACTTTAAGACGTGTGAACTTCAACTCCCAGAACTCCACACTGGCTGGGGAATTCTGGGAGATGAAGTCCACACACACACACACACACACGCATCTTAAAGTTGTCGAATTTTGAAAAACACAGAGTTGAAATATCCTTTGCAACAACTACCAGCTGTGTTAACCTTTTTTTAAACCCCCTTTTCCGTAGGATGAAACGAACTTTTTCAAGATCCAACTTTTTTCCCTGTATTGATTATGGACTGGCGGCAATATCCTTGGTGTACAGTAACGTTGTTTTTGTGTATATTTGGGAGAATTGTTATCTTGACTTTTTTTGGGGGGGTGGGGGGACCTGTTTGGAAGAAATTGAGAGTGGGGGCAGCAATGATGTTGGGAGTTCCTATGAATTTCTCCTTTCCAGCTACAATCTGCTCTTTGCCTGCCATTCTGTTACTAGGCTAAAATGCTCTTTTTTTCTATGGCTCACTTGGCCAATAGCTACAATATCTGCTTGTTCTCCAGCCGAAGAAAATTTGTAATAAAGAGAGAAGCCTTATTTAAAAAACGAAACTGGAAGACTCTTGATTATGAAAGGTAAAGTTGACATTCCAGAACCCAGAGAGGATCAGACAGGCCAAATAGGGGGGAAGGGGAGGAAGATTCACACTGTATCCACATCATGGTGTTTTGTTTTTCTTGTTTGGGATGTATTCTGCACCCTGTCTCCTCAATTTCATTCATGGTCCTCCGTGGGTCTCTTTGCAAGAGTCTGCAAATATATTCTATTTTGTCCTAGGCTTCCCCAGCAGCACGAAGCCGAGTCCTCGTCCCGATAAACCCCTTTTATTTAATATACAGTGAATTATTCTCCAGCAAAGTCCCGGCCCACAGTCTTTCAAGACAGTTCACAATGACCGACCTTTATCAGGCCTGGAGAGCTGCCAGGCTGATATCTTTCAGACGCCGCAATACTTGGCAAGAATGCAGGAAGGAACTAATTGTCTCCTGCAAACTCCACTCCCCTTTCGCTCCTCTTTTTATTCCCTATGGGAGGGCCATTCACCATCCACCTGTGGCCTTACTCCCAAGTCGACCCCTGTTCTTTAGCTGTTCCTTTTGTCTGGCAACTCTGTGCATGCGCACACTGGGAACAGGCCCCAGATGTTCATCTGCCTCACTGATCTCTGACTCCGAAGGCAGCTGATAACTGTCAGACGGCTCTGGCCC